TATTAATTTAAATATAACTACATGCCACACAAAAATGTTTTCTTCCTTGATGTTCTTCACAGCGTGTATTCTGGACATCAGTCAATTTTAATTCCTCCTATGGAGCTGGAATCCAATCTTTTCCTCTGGTTATCTACTGTCAGCCAGTATAAAATAAGGGACACTTTCTGTTCCTATTCAGTCATGGAACTGTGCACAAAGGGACTTGGAAACCAAGTTGAAATGTTAAAGGTAAGGAATGTTTCCTGAATGTTATGTTAGATAAATTAAGTAAACCGTGGTAGTAAAGCAAAGTGATAGGATTGTTAAATACAACAGTTTTGCTGTTGCATAAGTTTCCAGTCCACAGCTTGCTCAAAAATGAAAAGCAACAAAAAATGTTTGCAGGCCCAGGAAATTAAAAGGATTTAAATTGAGTAGGGTGTATGTATTGCAGTGTAGGTAGCACGTTGCCAGCGAGTATCAGAGACTGCTGGGCAAACCCTAGAGAGAGGATGCCAGCAGCAGAATGCTATGCAGAAGAATTGCTTATATAACAGTCTGCAGTGAAGGCTCAGACCAGCACATGATGTAAAGCACACATGTTAGGCAATTTGCTAAATAGAGGTGTTTTCTCCTTGGAGATTAGAGGAAGGGAAAAAAATAGCTACATAAAGCACTTGAGGTGGCTTTTTGCTTAGGGTTTACTGAAGTAGTGTACTCTGTGGAATTAAGTCTTGTTCTGTTGGTGGCATAGAGTTCTGAAAGCGTCTGCCTTGGGGTGTGCCACCAGTTAAACTGCGTAATGCACAAATTCAAACAACTGGCCAGTGCTGTTCCGTGCATTCATGATCATGTCTAGAACTAATAATGGATTCTGGTCCCAGTTTTGTTGAAGACTCACTGTAATCCCAGTAAATGACTTCACTCTCACTTGGTTTGGTTTCCATCTTTATAAATAGTGAATAACAGATGTAACCTTAGCTGAAAAGCACTGCAGAAGCACGTGATGCTACATTCTGTAGCAGGGGAAGAAGCACCGTTAATGAATATTTTGTTCTAGCAGTATTTCTAGGCTCTGGCCAGACACATTTTATAATTACAGATAGAAGCTGAAGAGGCAAATTAACTTGAACACAAGAACAGGGTTTGTCCTGCATTTCTCTATTAGTTTCCAGGGATAAAAAGCAAATGTCACTTCTTGTGAAGGGACAGACCTTGGTGCAGTGTGGCAGGGGTAATGAACACATACAGGCCTCTGCACTCATTTGTGTTTTTTTCCAGGCACGAGGAATTAATCTGTCCTGTGTCCGGACTTGTGTGGTAGTCGCAGAGGAACGGCCGCGAGTTTCTCTCACTCATTCCTTCTCCAAACTCTTCAAAGACATTGGCCTGTCGTCTCGTGCTGTAAGCACCACCTTCGGGTCAAGAGTCAACGTTGCCATCTGTTTACAGGTAACGCGAGTGCGTTCTAGTGCACGTTTTGTCACTGGCATCAGGTTTCCAAATTCAGTTGTATTCTGCAATGGCAAACTTCCTCATCTGCACACGCTTCTCTGTTGTTAGCGTAGCTCAACATCAGCTTTGTAGAGAACAGCTGGCACAAGATTCAAGCAGCTTCTCTTGTTTTCAAGTGCCAGATTATATCATGGATGCTCAAAACAACTGAAACATGACATCAGAGAACTGTTTTATTTCCATGTAAAGAATGCCTCTGCTTGCCCCGGGGCTGATAGTTGAGAGTGCTTGGGCTGTCTCGAGAGCAGCTCCTCCCTTCCCAAAGGTGCATCCCACACTGGTGCTACACTCAGCATAGAGAGAACATAGCCTGTTTACTGAAGTGTCTCCCGTAGTGCAACTGCGAATATGAATTTTGCTGCCAGTAAAGAACCCCTGGAAACGTTTATGAGCTCAGGCAGAAGTTAACCTGACTTCTGTAGGTACATTAAATTTTTAAATGTTAACTCTTCAGGGAACGTCTGGACCTGATCCCACCACAGTGTATGTAGATCTGAAATCCTTGAGACATGACAGGTACAGTACGTTTACTTAAACTTATTTAATAACGCTACAAAAAATATTGTAATGATACCAAGCTATCCCACCTCGGTAGATTTCTGTTCTTTTTTTTTCCCCCCTGACAATGTTTTCTTTACTTCAGAGTACGTCTAGTGGAAAGGGGAGCTCCACAAAGCCTGCTACTTTCAGAATCTGGGAAGGTAATTTCGTGTTATTACCTGGAGGCATGGCACACAGCATCTGATGACCACATATTGCTTTTTATGCTCCTTATGATGTAGATGTGTAGCTAGGAAATGTAGTATTGTAGCATGGCATGAGAAGAGGTGATAGTTGGTTACACTCTTCCTCTGGAAAGTTAGTTTGATTTATAATAAAGTATCTGTTGATTTAGGAGCGTGCTTTGCTGAAACAATTGGGTGAATTGGTTCTGTTTACAGTAAATGAACCATATCGAAAGTGTCTGCTGTCGTATCCTTGTAATCAGCATGCATTTGAGACTTACCGTTGCTCTCACTCCCATTCTTTAAATGCCTTAACAAAAAAGTGTTTTCCCCATAGTTTTTTAACATTTCATTCTTCAAAATCAAGGTCTGGCAACATTTATAGGCCTGGAATGCCTTAGCTATGTGGCTCTTGAGTCATGAAATGCATTCACACTGTTAGTGTACCTCAGTGTACATGTCCTAGCATGTTTTATAGCTGTTTGTAATTTCTGTGGGTGAAATCATGCCTCTCCAGAAGTAATGAACAGCCTTTGTATTTTACCTGTGCGTGAAGATAATTCACATACAGATTACATATTCCTTCTTGTGATCTTTAGATTTTACCTGGGGTCAAAGTAGTCATTGTTAATCCAGAGACAAAAGGACCTCTTGGAGATTCTCATCTTGGGGAGGTAAGCGCAGATTTCGCTGTTTGGATAGCTTCTCCTGTTGTCTGCTTCTTGAGCTATATTCTCTCTGTTCGGTTGTGTAAGTTGCCGGGTGACAGTTTGTGAGTGGTAATACCTGCACGCCTTTTTAAGCTGAATTATTGCTGCAGTGTTCAGAATTTGGGTGTGTTGTTTTACTGTCAAGTTTAACAAAAAAGAAAGCCTACTAGAAGGAAAGGCTTATTCCACTCTAAATCTTGCCTCCAAATAATTTAATTTACATATTGCTTTTCTTACCTTGATGACACACCAGTATATTTGATCTGTGTTGATAGATTATTATAAATTTTTGGACTTCACATGTTATAAAAATCTGCAGTTTGTTTACTCAGTTAATCCTCACTTACGGTTATTAGGAGAGCAGATCTGCAAAGCGCATTTTTAAGATTCTACAGGATATTTGGAGGTTTGAGCTAAATGCAAAACATTTTTGGGTCTGGAATATCTTAGATAAAAAGAGAACCTTCTTGTTACAGTTTATTATGTGCTTCATTTTAATACTCAACAGATGCTCTGGTTTTGTAGCGTGTGGATCTGAGTGTTTTTCCGCTTCCCGTACAGATTTGGGTAAATAGTCCACACACGGCCAGTGGCTACTATACTATCTATGACAATGAAACCCTTCAAGCTGATCATTTCAACACTCGTCTGAGCTTTGGCGACGCTGCTCAGACACTTTGGGCTCGGACCGGATACCTTGGTTTTGTTCGTCGGACGGAGCTCACAGCTGCCAGTGGAGGTATGGCAGAAATTAGTCTTTATCTTTCAAATTAAGATGAAGAGTTTTCTTTCATACTGTGCAGCAAATAAGTCCTGATCCACGTGTCTGCATGCAAGAGTCACTTTGTTTTATCTAAATTCCACTCGCTGTCTGCCCTTTTCTCTTTTCATAGTATGCATACGCTTCATTTCCCGTCTCTCCTCTCTAGAGCGCCATGATGCACTGTATGTTGTTGGAGCACTGGATGAAACTTTGGAACTGAGGGGACTGCGTTACCATCCAATTGATATCGAGACTTCTGTATCTCGAACGCACAGAAGCATTGCTGAATGGTAAAACAGCTGTGAAAAAGGAATTCATCCTAACCTTGCTGAAATGTAGCAATGTTTATGCAAAAATGCAGGATTTAATAGGAAAAAAAACCCCAAAACCTAAGGCAAATTCAGATACTCTTTTGTGTTACCATCAGCAAGTCGTGCACCTCATTTCCCCTCTCTAGATCAGAATAATACTGGGCTGACTGACCCAGTGTTTTCTCCCGAGCCTTAATTCCAAATAGAAATGATGATTTCCTGCTCTGTGGTGTAAAGAACCATTTGTATTTGAGTCACTGAAAGCAGCATTTAGTTTGTACGTCACACTAGGTAGTACTGAGATGTATTTGAGCTGATCTTTGACGTGTCAGGACTAGGTCTTGGACTTAGGTCGCTTGGAAATGCAGCCCAAAGCAGGTGGTAAAATCCATCTAAGGATAAAGAATTGTAAACTTTGGAGCTTTGTGTTTGTGAAAATAACTGGGTTTTTTCTGTTTGTTTTCTTTTTCTTTTTAACTTTTAGTGCTGTATTCACATGGACCAACTTGCTTGTGGTTGTTGTGGAGCTGTGTGGCTGTGAACAGGAAGCCCTGGATTTAGTTCCTCTAGTTACAAATGTGGTCCTGGAAGAGCATTACCTAATTGTGGGAGTGGTGGTGGTAGTGGATCCTGGAGTTATTCCTATCAATTCCAGAGGAGAGAAACAACGAATGCACCTCCGCGACAGTTTTCTAGCTGATCAGTTAGACCCCATATATGTAGCCTATAACATGTAACGTGTATGGGGGAAGTGATGTTTGGAAACTTTGCGGGACCACTAAATGGCAAAGGGTGGCTATAGAAATGAAGCTGGTGAATATTACTAATACTTGATATAAAGTTTGAGATTGCTGCCATATTTCCTTCATCTCATCCTGTGGTATTAAGATCGCGTTAACTACCAACGGACAAAAGGAAATGCGGTAGACAATGGAGAACGTTTGTAACAGTTTACTGAAATATTAGCTTTATAGAAAATGCAAAGTTGAAAAGTGTTTGAGCTACAAAATTCCTAAGGCCTTTACAGTAGTGTTACTTTTTTCATCTGTTGTACATATTTGTATTTTTATCTAATACTGTTTTAGGATTCTATAAGGGGAGGGTTTATTTAGTTAAGATAATAAACTATTAAGAGAAGGGTCATCAGAGTTCTGCAGTTCCCTACTATATAATGTACTTTGCATCTGTACTGTAGCTATTCATTCCGTGGGATCACACAACTTATTTAAAATTGTGCCATGACCAAATCAATAACTTACGGAATCTAAGAGTTACTTATTCATATAGATATTTCTGGAATTTAAAAAGAATTTTGCCTATATTTTAAATATGTAAATATTATTATACATAATTCACTTAGAAAATTAACTTGGATAATGATGACAGCTGAAGGTGGACATTTTTAAGGACAAGTAACTTTTGTGGTCCTTAGCATAATTACATTTGGTTAGACAACTAATGTGAGAGACACACATCCTTCACGAGTTTTCTTATTTCAATATGTAGTCTTTTATTGCTGGCCAGAAGTGTGTCATAGCATGTAGAAACCTAAGATTTTAAGGCACATCTTTCTAAAAGAGGCTGAATTTAAACAGTAACGTGGAATTTGGTAGAAATCGCAGTGCAAGTCCAAAAATGCTTAACTGAAATGATGCATCTGAGTAGCAGCCTCTGCCTCCTCCTCTATGACACCTTGTTTTTAAAGGAAAAACAAATCCTCAAGATTGTTACACAGTTAAAGTCGCTGTTCGTACAATTCAGTCATTGTTCCGTTCAGTCCCCTCTAGGTAGAGCAAGAAATATTGTAAATAGACTTTAATGTAAACTGGGAGGCCACAACCCAGTTTTCCTCAAAGCGTTCACTAGAAAGAATTAGATAATCCTTTTACAGGAGGAGGCACAAAAATGAAATAGAGCAATTCTGGTAAACACATCGTTAAATAACTTTGTGAAAATTAATATCCCTGCCTTGAAAATACTTAAGTTTTCACATTAGTAAATATGAAGAAACGGAAGCCTCAGAGTAGTGGATATAAGGTCTTACTGTCAGGAAGCAATTGCACACTGGGCTGAGGGAGAGACAATGTTTAAGCTTTGACTCAAAATTACTTTTCTTTCATCTAATACTTGATAATCTTTTAAGAACAGTAAAATTCCTGTGGGTGTTAAGAAAATTTGATTTTGGAAGCAATGAGAGCTGATACCAGACACTGCAACAGGGTTTTTTTGAGTCAAATTTGGTATACAGTGTAAATAAACTTGTTAAAATGTTCCAGATTACCTCACTCAAAGCTGTTCGGTTGTTTTTAAAAGGTTTATAGTATGAACTCTGAAAATCCTGTGGCAGTTATCAGAGCAGAACCCAGTGTATCTGTAAGCAAACCCCAGTTTTGTCTTTGAATAACTCCTGATGCATTCTGTTAGTTCTTCACTGAAGACAGGAGCATTAAGATTTAGAGAAAAAGTTCCGAATTATATTTTTGAAAAGTATTTGGTGAGGGAATAGATTTAGAAGCTGAAAGTTATTGCGGCAAGTCTAGACTTAAGAGTTCTTTGCAAACGCTACAGTTTACAGGTGCACGTTTTTGAACAATTTTTTTCCCTGTATCCACCACAGTAGTAAGATGACACTGCAGGTGCAGTTTTCATGGTATTGTGCTGCTGCCTGGGTGTGAAAGGTTGTTTCTGGTTTCTCAAGATGTGCGTCCTAAAATACCTGCGCACAAAGTCTTTAGTTTTAACAAATTGGCCACAAAGTGAAGAAAGTGATGGGCATAACTGTGACTAATACAGTTGGTACTACAACTTATTTAGGGTGTAAAGTGCACAAAAATTGTTCTTCCTTTTCAGCCAGCAAAGACTTGTTATTACATGTTACGCATCCCTCTTTTTTTTTTTACGTTTTCTTGCACAGCACAGTGACGTGCAATACAGCTTCACTTCGTTGTTGCCCATTTCAGAAAAAAATTCTGATGGTCTTGACCTTTTTCTTACTCAAAGCTTTAGATAAATCGTTTCAGTAAATACTTTATTTGTCCATTGAAGTGGATTTTAAGTACAATTCTCGGATTGTCTTTTATTTTTACTCGTCATTTTTCAGAAATAAAAAATGTATGTATTAATTTGATCAAAGATTCCCAGTATGTAGCAGATTGACTTTCTGAAATGGCACTTTTTAATTACATACTGGATTATTTTGTTTTTATTTTTTTCCCTTGTTTTTTTACTTGGCTAGGTATTGATAGCTTCTTATGGTTTGGGGTTTTATCTTTCAAGTTTACGGTGTACTCTTAATCTTTATTCCGGCGTGTTATACGTCTCTGTGTTGGAGTTTACAGTCCTGCCCTTAGAATGAGATAACATTCCATTCTTGATCGCCAGCAAGTGACATACAGCAGCTGGCCAGTTTTGACTTTATTGAACGCTTTTGTCCATGGTTGGCACGGTGAAAAGCAGTGCACTGGAGAGGAGGAAGTACGGAGCTGTGAACCTGGAAACCCCGATTTCCGACTCCAGCTCTGCTAATGACTTGCCACGAGGCCTTCAAGAGGTCATGTCACTCCTTCAGTTTCTTCATCTGTAGATGAGGATATTATCTAATCCTTACAACATCCCTGTGAGGTAACTAACTGTACAGCACTAAGTGCTAAGTATTTTTCATTGCTAGCCTCTTTGAGGTTGGGATCAGTTTGTTCTTGCAAACCATAATAAATGATTATTTGGTGGTTGTGGGAGGGCTGTCAGAAGGTGTGACCAGTTTGCTTTACAACGGTTACTCGGTATCATTCCATACCAGAAGGAACTGAGATACTCAACTTCAGAAAATTGGCGGGGCCACTGATGTTGCGTGTTCAGGTTCAGTCTCGGATGCTTTTCCGTAACTGCTGAATCTCAAGTGTTGAGTCCCAAGAAGCAGACTCCCCGTGCCAGTTTGACTTTGCAGCTTATGCAGTCGCAGAACGCAAATTCTTTCCTGCTGTTGTCCGTCAGATTCCAAGCTAAACAGCTGCAGTGAAACTTAAAAAACTAGGAATTCTTAACACTTTGAACTAAAATATTTTATACGTCTTACTGTTTATGAATATTCCCTAAGCAAAATATGTGGGTACAGGTAATTTCAAATCCTGTTTTCTTAAAATTTGCACTGCATTTCTGATTTCAATAAATGTAATTAAGATGTGTCATACTAACTGTCCTAAAAATAAGGTTGTAAAAACGAGATAAATTTTAGCCCTAGATGCAACTTTTCTTTAATTTCTGTCAACCTAGTTACCATTGTCAAATTCAGACTACAGCGTTATGTAATTATGTATAAAGTTTTTATTTATTTAAAATTAGATTAGATATACCTTTTTAAATTTAACATCTGGCTGGACAGTGTTCCATTAACGCATTGATTGTGTTTCCTTTGTCTTGTGTTAATAAATATTGATGCCTGATTGCTTGCTTAATTCTTCACCTGCTGTTCCTTCAAAGAATGTTTTTTTTAAGGAAGCAAACATGGGTTAGCATTTGTCTTCCTGAAAGGGGGAACTTGTAAGTATTTTTGCAGATATGTTACATCACTTGTAAGGTGTCTAGAAAATGGCAAATCATGTCACTTGTATCCAGAAATGTATCTAGAGGGGAAGCTGTGAAGAGCCAAGCTCCCCGCGCTGCTGGGGGTGGGAAGAGGTTGGCTTGTACCCACAGCCATTTAGCTTCTGAAATCAGGGTTATAAGCGAGCTCGCTTGCCGAGGATGAACTAGATGCAGTTTTAAGCACGACCTACCTATATTTAAGGTTTTAGTGTAGTATTAAATACTCTTTAGTCAATTTCTGGTTAGGGTTCAGGGCTGTTAGGTTTCATTTTGAACTGGAATTCAGTGAGGGATTTATAGGCTCTTAAATCTTTGCGATTCCCAACAAGATGTGAGGGGTGTTGTCCTCTGGAGGGCTAAAGGAACTGCGTAAAGCTTTGTGTGAGCTGATGAAATAGAAACTGTGGTGGCATTTGAGGTTTAACACTGGGTAATCTCTGCTGTCCAAAACTAACCATGGAGGTTTTAAGAAGATTTTAAATATTCATAAATGTTAAGATACAGTTTAGTACCAGTGAGGATGTAATTAATATTAATGATCTAACACCAGCAACCATCTGTGTGTGTACCCATTAATGGTTGTGTGTTTCTGGTTTCAAATATACGTAGACACATTATTTCATACAAATGATGAGCAGCAATTTTGCCATGGTTTCTTTTGAAAACATTTAATTTTCAGTAAATCTTTCCTGTATTTTAAAATTATTTTCTTAATATTGGGGAAACCTCTTTTAGTTAGTTGGTTTTTGTTTGTTTTAACTTTGAATTGTTACAGTAATCAAGTACATTGAAATAGCCAATCAGTCTTTCCTTCTCATAAATACATTTGGAATTGAGTCACCAAATTTCCCAGGTGTCTGAGGATTCTTGTTGTCACAGCTCCAGCCCAGGCACTTAGTAGATAGTGCGAGCTTAATACTAATTGGGTAGGTAAAACTTTGCATAATTCTCAGAAATAGAAACCTTGAGAATGTGAAGCTTTTCAGCAGTCGCTGTAGAAGGTATTGTCAGGGGAATAGAAAGCATACTCAGGCTTTACTGCAAATAACTCATTCATCTCCTGACATTGATTGTACAGAGATGAAGTGCTTGGTAAACCAAGGCAGAACGAGGGGGACTTCGGGAAAGTAAAACTAAAAAAACCCAAACAAACAAAACCCACACAAAAAAAAACCCACCGTTGAAAACTGCAAAAGAAATAATGTTAAGAGTTCTATGTAGCAGCAAGAAAAAAAAAGTATATATCACACTAAAGCTTTAATCAAAACCCTTTGTAATATTTTACAGTTTGTGTAAGGACAACAGTTGGGACATGCTGAAAATGGTGGGAAAGGTTTCCACTGGTGGTTAGCTAGAGTTTGTGTGTTTTGCAGGTACTGCTAAATTTCCTTACTGTGATCCCAAGCGGTGCTGTGAGAACAAACACTGTGAAGAGGGGTTGTCACCCCATTACCGTGCTGCTGCTTTCCATTTTCATTAATTTTTAATTCAAAGAAAAAAATCATCTGTCCTGCCT